GCAGGTCTGCCCTGTCCTAGAGGAGTCTCTAGGGACGGCAGACGCGGGGCAGTGGGTGGTTCTTTGTTTCGTTGTGCTTTCCTTTCGACATGATCTTGCTGCGGCTTTTCATTTGATCAATATTTAGCATCTTGGTGCTTTTCAGGTCTTGTGCAGCCGACTCTCTGGGGGAATTGGTTAAAAGGCAGGTTCTGATTCTCCAGACCTGAGGGGCCCTAGATTCCATGTTCTTAACAAGCAAGGTCCCCTTCGGCTTCTTCCAAGATTAAAAAAGCCAATTTGAAGACTCCCCTCTGTGGTACTGTTGGGTCAGAACCCCCATCCCCAGCCCCCTCTCTCTAGCTGCCATTACAGTGCCAGCGCCGAACAGTATCTCTCTGAAAATGGTGTGAATCCTGGGAGACAAACAGTCTTGCGGACAGGGCTGGGGAGAAATGTTTGGCTGCTGTCCAATTTCCTTTACTGGACACCCTCAGATGGCCTTCATCATTGTGGCCGGCATTTGCCTCTGCCTCTATTTCCTCTTCCTGTGCTTCATGGTCTTCCAGGTGTTTCGGAACATCAGCGGGAAGCAGTCCAGCCTGCCCGCCATGAGCAAGGTCCGGCGGCTGCACTATGAGGTGAGTGAGTGGCCTGACTCTTTCTGGGACTATTGCTCCCAATCTCTTTTCCTGCTTGATGTGTGAGCACAGACACGTGTATATGGGCGTGCACATGGGTGGGCACACACGCACGCGCTCTTCTTTCACATACATGCTGACATTCTCGTGTGGAATCTGCAGGCTGAATTCAAGGCGCGCTCTTACTCTGAGAACGGTCTAACAGGCTCATCTGAATCCTGGAGTCTCCCTGTGCAACCCATTTCTTTCCGTCCTCAGCAAGCGCGAACTGGTTCAGCAGGTTCTTGGGCTTCGGGGTGGAATGGAGGAGCCTACTAGATGGGAGATTTGGTAGGGCTGAGGCTTCCATCAAGTATCTCTGCGGAGAAGCAGCCTGAGACTGTGAGAGGTCTGATTTCCAGACTCGCACAGACCATATTTCCCCTGAAATGTCCAGCAGGTGCACAGGTAATGTCCACTAAGCTCAGTTGACAGCTTGCACTTCTCATGCAAGGGAATGCACTTAACAGGCCCTCATCTCTAATGCAGGCAGCAAACAGCTTTGGGCAGTCAAAGATTCCCTCGGGTTCATACCTGGGAGACATGACTGAATTCCTCTGTTAGAAGGGCCACACACACTGCCACCCCACGGGGTTTTGGATGCAGTGTGTTTGCACGTGTTACGGTCAGTTTCCCTGGAGCCCACCACTCAGACTCCCCATGCCCTAGTGATCACATGGGTGGTGCAGGACCAGACGATGTTTTGTTCTGTTCTGTTCTGCCAGGGTATCTGCAGCTAAGAGGGCCCAAGTCGCAGCAGGTGCCTGGCCCCTGAGTCTGGCACACAGAAAACAACCGGCCCTGTCAGAGGCTTGCCTGTCTCCGGAGGGGCAGTGGCATGTGGGAAAAGTCAGCCCAATACACTTCTCCCATTGATTAAGATGCACATTTCTTTGTGTGCACTGAAGCAGAATTTTATTAGGACTGCAGAAAACTTCGAGTTGCTAACTTTGAACCCTGGCAGAGAAGCATAACCCGCTTAGCTGGGAAATTAGCAGCTTCACAACGTGCTGTGCATGCAATTTCCCAGGCCCCGGTCGCATGCGAGATAAGAACAGAGGAAATATTTGGCACGAGAAATTTCCCAGCCACGTTCACCTCTGCAGGAGGAATGCTGCTATGTGAAATTGTTTTACTCCTGGGGATTTTTTTTTTTTTTTAAGCAATGAGTTTTTCATAAATTTACATGCTGCGATGAGGACTGATGGTAGAGGATGGAATACTGAATGACCCCCCTCCCTCCCTCTTTCTTGCCAGGGGCTAATTTTCAGGTTTAAGTTCCTCATGCTGATCACCTTGGCCTGTGCTGCTATGACTGTCATCTTTTTCATCGTTAGCCAGGTAAGTGGACCCTGAGATATCAGGATAGGAGTGTCCCTCGACGTCACAAAGAAAAGTGGCAGAGTCGCGGAGGGAAAGGAGCTGAGAGGCTGTCGTTGGGGTAGCTGGTGAAGCCATGTTTATTTACTGCCTCAGAAGTCGTACAGAGAGTTGTGATGATTCGAGGGCAGTGGGTTTAATCTGAGACCCCGGCAGCAGTGGGTCAGTGGTAGCATTTCTCCTTCCAGGTGGTGGGTACAGTTCATAGCCAATGCGCTTCAAGCATAGCTACCACCCAGCGGCCAGTGGAGGTGTGTGTGTGGGGGTGTGCCCCGGACACTGGCCAGGTTTCAGTGGAACTTCCAGGCTGAGACTAGGAAGAAAGACCTGGCAACATTTGCTTCTGAAAACCTGCCTGGGCAACCCTTATGGATCGACACACTCTGATCCCATTGTGCAGCTAACAACAGCAGCAGCAGCCAGGGGCTTCTTGGAGCTTGGCCAGAGGAGTGGCCTGATTTCCCCTCCCAATTTTTAGTCCTTTCCCAATTTTTGTTTCTCTGCCGTGGGGTCCATTCTGACTCGAAGTGATCCCATAGGACAGTTGAACTCCCCCTGTACATTTCTGAGGCTGTAACTCTTCACAGGAGCAAACAACCTCATCTTTCTCCCCAGAAAAGGCTGGTGATTTTGAACTTCTAACCTTGTGAATAGCAGCTCATCACATTGCCAGATCTCCTCAGTGTAGCCTCTCACTGCCATTGACTCAATGCTGACTTATAGCAATGCTGTGAGACAGGGTAGAACTGCCCCTTTGAGTTTCCAAGATTATAACTCTTTACGGGAAGAAGAGAGCCTCGTCTTTCTTTCTTGGAGCTGTCTGGTGGTTTTGAACTACTGATCTTGAGTAATTAACAGCCCAATGCATAACCACTACACCACCAGCGCTCTTGTACTATAGTCCTAGGGAAGGGGGGGAAATCATTTAATTCATTTTTCCTCTCCAACTGCAGTCCTAGGGAAGGAAAAATATAGTTAAATAAATTGAAAGTCTGCAGCCAGATGGAAGGAGGCTTATTTAATTTACTTGAGAGAATAAATGTTTTGAGCCCTGTAGCAGCATGCTAACAAGCAATGTGTTAATTTGATTTGATCCTTATCTAGCCATTAACATAGATCCTTCAACAATTCTTCCACCATTCTTTGTAATAATTATACTGTCTGTTAAACATAAAAAGTAATCTAGGAGTCCCTTAATTATATTGCCTGTTAAACATGAAGAAGAATCCACGAGTTCCTGGATATAAAACCAGAACTATCCATGCCAGTGATTTCCAAAACTCAGAATTCAGTTCACCTTGGAAATCCCCCACATGGTACTGATAGTCAGTTTTAAATATTGGCCACTGGTTCTGACAGGTGGGAAGAACATTTAAACGTAATGCATCACAGGTCTGCCATTCATTTGCACTTTATGAAAACTTGTGCGGTAAGGAGGGTAGTAGTCGGTGTCCCGGTGGCTCTGGTATGACATGTGATGGCTCCAAAACTTTTCTCAGTTGTGTTGCTTTCCAGCTGGTTGACACTTTGGATGAATCACTGTACCTTTGGAAGGTTTTCTTTTCTCCTCTGCTGGCCGGGCTGAAGGTCAAATGAGGTAATGCAGTGGGATTGGTGGGGTGCCTGGCACACTGTGAACATGTGATCACACTGCCCACGCTCACTGCCCTCAGAGTGGATCCTGACTCGTGGCGACCCTGTAGAGCAAGGTGGAACTGCCCCTCCGGCTTTCTGAGACGGTGACTCTTGATGAGAGCACAAAGCTTCATCTTTCTCTCTTGGAGGTGCCTGGTGGTTTCAAACTGCTGACCTTGCAGTTAGCAGCCCAAAGCGCAACCACAGCCCCACCACTAGGGCTCCTCTGCATGTGCTGTGGTATCCTAAGAACAGGAAGGGTGGACGTCTTGTCCAAGGACAGACAATAAGTTCTGGAACCCTCGGGGACACCCTGAGGCAAAATTAGCTGATGGCATCTGGTGAGCTAGTTGGAGGCCTGGTGGCTGTGCTTCTTAGGGAGTTCGTGTTATCAGCTCTCCTGAAGGCTGCAGTGAATGGGGAACAGAAAACGTGCATTGTGTGTGTGTGTGTGTGTGTGTGTGTGTGTGTGTGTGTGTGTGTTTCATAAGTTCTGTTCCCCTCTGATTTGACCTCGAACAGTGCTGCATTTGTATCAAGCTTTCTGTTTATGAAACTTGGGGAAATTGTGCTCCCACTCCAAAGTAGTAAAAATATTCCAAATTCAGAATGAGGTTTTATTCAACCAGCCGAGGCTCAGTCACCCATCTTCAAACAAGGTATGCGTCAGAAGCATGACTTATCCTCCATGAATTCCTGCCCGTGACCGAATGCTTCCCAGGCCCTGCAGCGTCTCAGGAATACGCTGTGCCATCAACACTCCCCATTCTGCGAGGCTGAGGGAGCAGGAGCCACCAGGGCCAGGAGACACCGGACCTCAGGGAAGACGGGTCCAAGAATAAAAGGCCACACCCAGACAAGTGTTCCTGTAGGCGGGAAACAAGGGTATTTGAGCTCTACCTCCATACCACTCACACTGTTCCCCTGACTCCTCCTGCCTCACTCTGTCTCTGTAGAGAGCTCTTAACATCTGAAATCAACAGGGACATTTTATTGATCTTTAAGACTGCATGCTGCCAGTTAACCATGTACCTACTTAACACCAAAAACCCACACATGCTTTTTGATTCTGTTGATTCTGACTTGTGACCCTTGAGGACAAGGTAGAACTGCCCCATAGAGTTTCCAAGGATCTTTATGGATACAGACTACCTCAGTTTTGTTCCATCAAATGGCAGGTGAGTTTGAACCACTGATTTGCAGTTAACAGCCGAGCTTGTAACCTCTGTGCCCTAAGGACTTCTGGAATATGTGGAATTATATCTATTAACACACCAACACCAAAGGCCATCAGTGTGATTTCTCCTCTCAGTGACCCCATGAATGTGCTTCTCAGGATTCTCAGGTACCGAGTTTTCATGAGCTCTGCAGGCCGTTGCTGTGTGTCCAGTGTGTCCAGTTAGGACAGAGAGGCCAGTCTTCCAAGGACCTAAGTTCGGGGCTACTCTTTAGAGCCCACGATGAGCAGTCCACTGGGGCATTGTTTTCTCACATGGCTCTGTCCTGAGGTTGGATTTTTGTATTTGCTGCCACCGTTGGCCCAGGCTTGATTTCAACTCTAAGAGGGAACAGTAAAGCCTTTTGGATTCCATTAGCTCCTTACAGTCCTCTGGCTGGGTTGTTTTGGTTTTTTTTAAGACTTATTTATAGACATCTAAGACATGTTCAGGTATAACTCATGGTGTCCCAGGAACTGTATTAATGTAGTCATCAGAGGCTTTATTTTTTTTCATGCCATTTTGAAATGTCTCAGCAATGATCTCACCTGAAAGAAAACCTATTGGGTAACGTTTTGAAATGGATCCCAGCCTTAGGTGAAAGGAATGTATTAAAAACCCCATTATCCTCTGGGGCTTGCTGGGAGAGCTCGCATTTTAAAGCCCCATGAAATATAATACGAGGGGATCTCTGAGGCCAGGAATGAAAGGCCAGCGGAAGCTGTGGAATGCAGTGACCTTGAGGCTTTGTAGCTAGGTGCCCAGGTGCAAGCTTTTGCATGCCTACTATTTTAATAGCCTCCTCTGTCAGAGCAACCAAGGTAGACTGCATCAGTCTGGTATTTCAGCCCCTTCTTTCCAGGGAGAGGGAAAGAATAGATGTTCCCTTTGGGGGTGGTGGGCATTAGAGAATAGATGTGCTATGCCGGGGGACAGGGCCACTGACCCCCACTAAGAGAACCCCTCGGTGCCTGACATCTGGGTCCAGCCACTTGTAGCAAGGCAACAGAGAAAGAAACTATCCCCAACTCTGTGTGTGTGTGTGTGTGTGTGTGTGTGTGTGTGTGTGTGTGTGTGTGTGATTATTCTCTTACAGAGGAAATGTTTCCAGTGAGAGGGCCTCGGTCTGCAATCTGGATATCTTGTTGTTAAGTGGAATGCTGGTTGTCAAGACTACTGGGTGTAAAAGGATTTGACCTTCACTTGGCTCCAGGGGTATAATTGGGTGGTTTCACACAAAAGTAAATTGTTCAAATGGGAAACTAGGAAAAACAGAGGCTTTTAGAAATAAGGCTTATGAAGACAGTGAGTGAGATGCCTTTGGGGGCCAGGGAGTGGTGGGGCAAGAAAGAGGTTGGTAGCACCTGATTTTTCTCCCTGGAAGTTAAAAGAAGGTGACTGTTACCTCTTGCCATGGCATTACTAAAATGTGGATTTCCTAAGCCTGCTCTGTTGAGCCCCACTATTGTGGGGCCTGTGTTTGGTGCGCGGACTGTCTCAGGCATGAATAATTGAATGAGAAGGGGAGACAGCCCCACCCGGTCTCTCAGCAGTGGAGTGACATGGTATACACAGTTCATTTATGCAAATCCCACCCTTGGTCCTCAGCAGGAAATAATGCATTTAGAGATTATAAATTAAATAGTGTGGGTAATTCCACCCTTTATTCTAGGCCACGTGCAGGAGTCTCAGAGTAAGCGTGGGATAGGAGAGTGAATCCACTCTTTGCTCCATCAGACTCAGCTCCCACGTGCCTCTGTGGTAGGTGTGTGTCACCCTCTTGTTCTACCAGAAGGTTACGTGTGCATATAAACTCAGTAGCTCAGGGCACCACACACACTCTTGGGAGTAGAGGATGCAGCGTCCATCGGCTGGGCATTTTTCATTCTGTGGTAGCCCATGTGTTGCTGGAAGCTCTGCCACCAGCATTTTTCATGCCAGTGGGGTCAGCCAGGGTGGGCAGGTTTCAGTGCAGCTGCCAGACTAAGAACAGACTCTACAGGGGTAGTTGGCCCCCTTCTAAGGGGTAGACACTGAAATCCTTAGGAATATCAGAGTGATACTTACTGCCTGAGTATAGATTCCAATCCAGACCCGGAGATCCACTTT